GTTGAGCGCCTGTGCTAGAACCACGGAATCCGGGAATGCCTAACACCTTCTCCCGGGTTAACAGAATACCTTACTCGGATTTTTGGTTCGCGAACTGTTAAACAGAGTCATATTTTCCTTGATTCGGGATTCAATCGGTGACTTGGGACACCATAAATCTCCCAAGTGGCAACTCTGAATTTCTTAGAATAAATCCCGTTTCGATTGTCCTTTAATTAGAAAAACTCCCTTTACATATACCTTTTTCCGGGGTGTAGGTGAAAAAGGAGGTGTGACAGCAGGGATTTATATTTGGGAGATTGTTCGGTTGCATGGTATTCCGGTTTCCATCATCTCAGATAGAGGTACTTAGTTTACTTTGTAGTTTTGGAGAGTCGTGCAAAGAGAGTTAGGTACTCAAGTGGAGTTGAGCACAGCATTTCATCCTCAGACGGACGGACAGTCCGAGCGTACCATTTAGATATTGGAGGACATGTTGCATGCTTGTGTTATTGACTTTGGAGGTTCATGGGATGAGTTTTTTCCGCTTGCAGAGTTTGCCTACAACAACAGCTACCAGTTGAGTATTCAGATGGCTCCATATGAGGCTTTGTATGGGAGGCGGTGTAGATCTCTAGTTGGTTGGTTCGAGCCCGGCGAGGCTAGGCTATTGGGGAAAGATTTGGTTCAGGATGCCTTAGAGAAGGTGAAGGTGTTTCAGGAGAGACTTCGTACAGCTCAGTCGCGTTAGAAGAGTTATGCGTACAGGAAGGTTCGAGATGTATCCTACATGGTTGCTGAAAAGGTCTTGCTGAAGGTTTCGCCCATGAAGGGTGTTATGAGATTTGGAAAGAAAGGAAAGTTGAGTCCACGATTCATTGGGCCTTTTGAGGTGCTTCGGAAGATTGGGGAGGTGGCTTATGAGCTTGCATTGCCACCCAGCTTGTCGAGTGTGCATCCGGTATTTCATGTTTCTATGCTCCGGAAGTATATTGGAGATCCGTCTCAGGTGTTGGACTTCAGCATGGTTCAGTTGGATGATGATTTGACCTTTGATGTGGAGCCAGTAGTTATTTTGGGTCGCCAGGTTCGGAAGTTGAAGTCAAAAGATATAGCTTCAGTGAAAGTACAGTGGAGAGGTCAGACCGTGGAGGAGGCTACCTTGGAGACCGAGCGGGAGATGCGGAGCAGATAACCTCACCTGTTTGAGGCTTCAGGTACGTTTCTTGACTCGTTCGAGGACGAACGTTTGTTTAAGTTGGGGAGGATGTGGCGACCCGGCCAGTCGTCTCATGAATTACCGCTCTGTTTTCCCCATTTTTGCTTCGTTATCCGTGTTTTATGTGGTCAAGTTGATTGGATTGCGTTTGGTGTGGTTTTGGTAAGAAATGAGACACTTAGTCTCTTTTAAAAAGGCTTAAGTTGGAAAAGTCAACCGGATGTTGACTTATGAGTTAGACGGCTCGGATGTGAGTTTCGATGGTTCGGTTAGCTTCGTGAGGTGATTTGTGACTTAGGAGTGTGATCGGAAGTGGTTTTGGAGGTCCGGTGTAGAATTAGGCTTGAATTGGCGAAGTTAGTATTTTGGCGATTTCCGGTTGATAGGTGAGATTTTGATCCGAGGGTCGGAATGGAATTCCGAGAGTTGTTGTAGCTTCTTTATGTCATTTGTGATATGTGTGCAAAAATTCAGGTCATTCGGACGTGGTTTGGTTGGGTTTTCGATCGAAAGCGTACTTCGGAAGTTTTTAGAAATTGGTTGAGGTCCCGGGGGCCTCGGGGTGATTTCGGATGGCTAACGGGAAAGTTTTGGAACTTGGGTGATAGCAGATATTCCGGTGCTTTTGGTATTTTCGCACCTGCGGTTTGAGGACCGCAGGTACGGTATCGTAGATGCGTGATTTGGGTCGCAGAAGCGGAAAGGCTGGGGAATGCCTGGAATCGCAGATGCGGAAGGGGGACCGCACCTGCGGAGCCGCAGAAGCCGCGAGAGGACCGCAGATGCGGTGATGGCCCTGTAAGTGAAATTCCGCAGATGCGGAAAAATGACCGCAAAAGCGGTACCGCAGAAGCGGCTATTGGACCGCAGATGTGGTTATGTCTGGGCAGTGAGTTTATTAAACATTTCATCCCCGATTTTGAGTTATTTTTTCACCATAGCTGAGTGTTTTGAGAGCTCTCTGAGGGAAATTGAAGAGGGATTCGAGGAGAAGTAATTGGAGGTAAGATTTATGAGCATAAAAAGTGATTCTATTGTGAAATTAACCTAGAAATTCATGGAAATTTAGCTAAAAATGGAAGAACTAGAGCTTGGGATTTTGAGATTTTAAATTGGGATTTGAAGGGTCATTTGAGGTCGGATTGGATAATTCTAGACATGTATGGACTCGTGGAAGGATAAGGAACCCGTTGATGTGAAAAATTCTGAGTTTCGAGAAGTGGGCCCGGGGCTCGGGTTTTGCTAATTTCAGGATTTTTGATATTTTCGATTGTTTTCGCTTGGGTTATGTTACCTTAGCATATTGTGACGTATTCGTTCTGGTTTTGGTCAGATTCGACGCGCGAGGAGACCGATTTGAGAGGCAAAGGTGTAGCGAGCTAGAGTTTTAGCCGGTTCGAGGTGAGTAATGAATGTAAATGATGTCCTGAGGGTTTGAAACCCCGGATTTGCACATTGTAGTACTATATTGAGGTGAGACACACGCTTGATGATGAGCGTGGGGTCGTTTACTATTGGAGATTGTGACTTGGTCCGTCCTGGGTGATGTTTTTACCGCGTATTTGATTAAAGCTTATTTGTTATCATCATTATTTGGACTGATTTCCATATTTGGGCTTCGTGCCAACTATTTGAACCCTCCGGGGAATTTTATCACTATTTTCTCACTGTTTTGATTTACTACTTGAACTCAGTCGTACCGTTTTCCACTGTTCTACAACTCAACCACTTTTACTCGGTTTTGAAACTAAAATGATATATTAATTGATGTTTTGGGCTGAGAACTACTGTTTTACTAATGCCCGAGGGGCTTATATGATTTCTGGATTGAGTACGGCCAAGGGCCATATGTGAGGATACTATGGGATCGGGCTGCGCGCCGCAGCAGTATTATACTGATATTGATATGAGGCCGAGGTCTTAGATTTGATGCCACGAGACGCCTTGATATTGCGATTGGGCCGTAAGGGGGCCCTCCCAGAGTCTGCATACCCCCAGTGAGCGCCGTCGACGAAATATATGGATCAGGCTGCACGCCGCAGCGGGTGCCGTTCTATGTGTTGATTTTCTTTATATGTCTGTCACTTAACTGCTTATTTGTTGTAGCATTACCACATTCCGTTTCCATTGGTTTATTGCTTTCATATTACTTGCTTAAACTCCCGCATTATAGATTACTCTGTGTTTTTCCGTGATTTCTTATTCCCAGTCATTATTTATGCTTATTACTCACTAGGTCGGAGTACTCACATTACTCCTTGCACCTTGCGTGCAGATCCACGTGTTCCAGAGGCTGAGTGAGGATTTCCAGTCGATCAGTTCATATCCGGGAGCATCGAGGTAGCTGCACGGCGTCCGCAGCTCGGATCTCTCCCTTCTATCCTTTCGTTTTATCCGCATTTCCTAGACTGATTATGTATTAGGCTGTTAAACTTGTACTAGAGGCTCAAGACTTGTGACACTGATCTGTATGGGCTATGTAGTGGTATTATCATCTGAATTTCCGTATATTTAACTCGTTGTCTTAAACTCTTATTACGATAATTTAGCAATTTAACTATGTTAGCTGATAATGATTTTTTTATAAGAAAACGGATTGAGGTTGTTAGTTGGTAAGGCTTGCCTAGCAGTGTGTTGGGCGTCATCACGACCGGGGTTGGGGTCGTGACACTCTTCTAATATAATTAGGAGCAGAAACAACAAAAATTAATCAGAAGAAAACCCAGCACAAAAAGAAGGGAAGAAAATTTTTAACTTTGTTCACATTACTACAATGAACACAATCAGATAATTTTATATATAGTCCAAAGGAAATGGACATCTCATGTAGTAAAAGAAACGTTAAAATCCATTACGGATTCATTGCCATCCAACGTTATAAACATTTAAAACCAAAGAAACATTATTATCAAAGTTAATCTAATTTTCAGTTATAGACATTAAAATATATTTAATTTATTGGTATAATAAAGACCCATAATACAAAAGAATGAACATATACATCAATTTGAATATTTCTTTTTGAGTTATTAAAAATTATTTTTCTAACAATCTCCCACATAACTCAAAAAGAATATTAAGTAATAGAGTGAAATAAAAAGTTCAACTGTTTTTCTATCAAATTCAACTGTTAAGCTCTTATGTTGCCTTCAAGGAAGCTATCTAATACTTTTTTGCTAAAAGTACAAACATTCACCAATTCAAGCGTTATAACGCTAGTAAGAGAATGAATCTACGAAACAAGCTACAACTATAAAGTTCTTCCATCAATCTTGAAAATTTTTATAATTTTTGTAGCTTTAACAGGTGTGCCTTAGAGTTTAAAATTTTATACTTATAGTTATGGATCTATTAATAAAGTATTAGCTTTCTTTAATGTTTAATCAGTAAATATGCATATTTAGGGAGATTTTAAATTTAAATAACTTTTTATCTTTTGTATGTAACATTAAAAAAATTAACTTTCAGATAATTTTTGTAACAATTAAAAATATTAGTAAATGTCAAATATTATATAAATATATAACAATTATTCACTATAAAATAAAAATAAAAATCGAAATAAATAAATAAATATTATAGAGAGGCTTTAGCATTTTATGCCAGCAACCAAACATCACATTAGTTTTGCAAAACCAACATTTTGAAAATTAAATATGAGGTTAGATTATCAAAATTTGAATTTAAATGACCAATTAATGTGCTTCTAAAATGGTGGCGGACTCCTAAATACCAGGACATAGAAATCAAATACAGTAGTAGTATTATTTAAATCATCATGTCTCAAAAGGAACCATCAAAACCATAAATCATTTCTAGTTCTCCCTTTTAACTAAATATAAATAAATAAATTTGATCACCTTTTGTTAATTTGCAGCTGCTGCTATGTATCAAGTGGAGGAGACAACTAAACCAGTAGTGCCTCCACCGCCAATAACTCAAGAACAAGAACCACCGCTTGCCTCTGTTGCCACGGCTACACCCAAACGACGTCGTTAAACCAACACTTGATGATACTACTACTACTACACCTACAGCTCTCACACCCCAAAGTAAGTTGTTTAAATCATCCTTAATTCTTCTTACTCGATCACATCTACATATTTTTTCTTTTTTATAGTGCTAGGTGTTCAGTGCTATTTATCTATTTACAGTTTAATTAACTTCTATACATTTTTTTATAGTACTAACAAAGGTTACTTCAACACTAATTAAGGTAACTATTGATAGTAATAGTAGCATGATTAGTTGGTAACATTTTCGTGTATATAAGTTAAAACACTGATATAGTATAAGGGATTTTTATATTTTGACTTCCATAAGTTAATACTAGTATCAAGAATTTTTAGAACGTCAGGTTACTTGCTGAAATCTAATTAGAGGTAATTTATGGTAGTAAACATAGTTTAGTTACCTACAAAAGAGGGTAAACGACCTGTTATATATAGTGGGTAAAAGTAAATTATTTATACGGTCAGTATATATTAATTAAATTCATAGTTTTAACTACTCCTATTTGATATGTACAAATGAAAATATTTTAATTTCTTACCTTTGTTTAAATGAAATCTCAGAGGACACTTTATCAGAAGCCAATATCATAGCTTCCCTTGTTATATTGATATTCTGGGTTTTTATGTCATTGTTTTTAGCTAGTGTGCCATCATCATATTGACCCTTGTTGATGCCTATTTCGCACTTACTGTTGGTAGCTTCTCTTCAGTATTAAGATGATAAAGACTATATAAGCAATGCAAAATGTTAATATATACATTTCAAACAATTTTAATTTAGCAGTAACAAGTGTTACACTGCCTGATAATCAACAAGTGTTAATTAGTAAACATTTCAAACAAATTTAGCAGAAACAAGTGTACTTTGGCTGATAATCAACAAGTAGTGTTTCATTGGCTGATAATCTTTTTTTTATCACAAGTTTCTCTACATGTCCAGCATGGGTGTGTTACACTGACGATGATTTTCTCAGACCATAACGTGTTGTTGTTGTGAGCACGTGGTTTTTGCCTCACATGAATTACTCCAAAAGAATTTCCAAAATTAGGTCTTTTCTTTAATTATGTGTTATTCTAGGAATTACTATGCGATTTTCCTGATTGTTTGCATATGTTTGTGTGCATGTTTAATTTTATTAATGCATTAAAAATACAAAAAAATATAGCATCTACACTTAGGATTTGACTTTACATTTTTTGGAATTAATTAATTAGGTGTTTTACAAAAATAAAAAATTCACAAAAAATAACATACTTTGTATTTTTAGTCAAATTTTGTGATTTTCTTTTAATTTAGTATTTAATTATTTATGATAATTATTATTTAGAGTTAATTAATATTTTTTTAAGCTAATTTGGGTTTTATAATTTAATTTAGGTTTAGTTTTAATTTTGAAAAAATAGTTTGGGAAATAAATAGAAAAAGGAAAAGAATTAAATAGAAGAGGGGAAAATAGATTTGGGCCAAAAATCCCCAGCCCAAATCAAATACACCCAAAACTCGTCCCAACACGGTCCGCCCCTTTACCATCCAAACGACGTCGTTTACCAACCATTCATCTGAGCCATTGATTTAATTTCATCCAACGGTCTAAAACGCGCCCCATCGCCCGTATCCGACCCCGACCCGTTTGCATCAGAGACCGATCTGGTCTCTAATGTATCTAAACGTCGTCGTTCCATTTAGTCAAATGATCCAAGCCGTTGATCTCGTTTGATCGAACGGTCTGGATCCAATTCCACCCCCAGTATATAATTATCCAAACAGACCCCACCCCACCCTCACCCCCCTCAGAACACCTCCTCCTCTCACTCGTCTCAAATCGTCTCTTCAAAGACGAGTAACCCTAGTAGCCGCCACCCTTTCCACCGTTCTCCAGTGGCGGCGCCGGCCCCAATCCACCTGAAAACCGCACCTCATAACTGTCACAACCTTCTCTTCCCAAATACCTGCTCCAATTCCCTCGAACATCCCTAGAACTGTTCGAATCTCGATTTAAAGGGATGAACCCTAGCAGCCGCCACCATTCACCACAGCCTTCCGGTGGCGGCGGCGCCTCCAATCCCTCCCAAATTAACACCCTGAAGCCACCTCACTCCCCTCTTCCCTAATCCACGATCTGTTACCCTCGAATCAAACCAGAACTTGTCGAATAATGAATCTAAGTTTTAAACCTAAAACTGCAAAGTCAAGATTCGTTGATACTTTAAGCTAATTTTGACTTTATCTGTGTGTTCTTGATAAAAACACACAGTTAAAGTCAAGATTTGGTTTAAAAATTGAAGATTCGAAGGTTTCTTTCAATTACTACTAACCGGTGAGTTTCTGTCCTGCTTCTATGTTTATATTTTATTAGTATTATTCTGATGTTTGTCTTCGTCGTCTCTTTTTCTTTTTCTGGTCAATTTCAATTGAAATTCGATCAGTCCTCTGGTATAAATTATTTATGTTCATTGTTTGTTTCTTTAGATTGGTTTTGTGGATTTGTTTCGTATAATTGGGATATCAGTTTGTTTTAAAACTTTGAAATCGCATCTCGTTTAATCACTTAGTCAGAATAATTAGGATTAGTTCAATAGTTTGGTTTAACTTCTTGTTTAATTATGTTGATAAGAATTAATTAGTATAAGTTTAAAGTGGTCACCTAATTGAGAAGCTTCCATAGTGGTAGGGTTTAGATTTCACTACCGAAAAATTTAATTCAATAAGGGTTGAGTGGAATCAAATTTTTAAATGTTGAAAGGCCATTTTGTGAATCAAAGGGCATTCCCCATTGCCTATTTAAGAGTTCATAGAGACTGAGTTCAGGGAGATACAAGAATAACTCTGAAAAATACTGAAAAGGTAGAGTTTGCAAGACACAAAGTGATAGAATCAGAAGTGAGGAAAAACTGAAACTACTGGGGGGAAAAACTACTACTGTTCCATTGCATTTTCTGTCTTGAATTTTAAAATTTTCCATTCTTAAATAGTTCCTGATTTTCTTTAGTGTTGAAGAATAATCTGAATTAGTTTCTGAAAGTATTGACCCAAGTTTTTCTACTCAATTACTGTTACATTGATTCATCCAGGATTATTCACTGTTTTTCTGGTTAAATCTGGGTTGTTTTGCTGCTGAACTACTGCTGAATCTTACCCTCTTTTACTCTCATTTCCAGGTACATTTTGAATCTTGTCTAATGTGAGGTTCAATTTGAGAATGAAAATACAGAATAGAGTTGAAAGTATAGCAATACTTCCCTTTATGACTCAGTTGTGCTTCATTATAATATTTATGTCTTTAGCAACATGATTCAATATGTATTCTAGTTAATGACTGTTTTGGTTAGTTGAATTATGTTAATTATATTTGATTTTGGGGACTGTTAAGATGTTGTATTAGAATGTTTAGTCGAACTACATCGTGGCTTAGATTTGTTTAAATTCTGGTTGAAATAAGTACTCATGCCTGTTGAAGATTTCAAATGGATTGATTATAATTGACTGGTATAATTTAAGGACGGAAGTGATCATACACGATATGCAGAGGCGGATCCAGGATTGGAAGTTTATGGGTTCCTATTGTAATATCAAATTAATATGCATTAATAATTGGGTTCACTCTTATATATTTATTGATACTTAATGAATTTTTTAATAAAAATACAGGGTCTATGCAAAAGTTACTGGGTTTCCGGGAACCCAATAACTATACTGTACATCCGCCACTGACGATATGCTATCCGAAAAAGTACTGTAAGGTGTTATCTTGCTGTGATGGATTTGTGTTGGTGATGCATGATTATAAACCATGTTGAAAGGAATTTTTTTTTTTTGGTCTTCTTTAGTTGCCCCCTTAGTCTTGCTTGAGATCTGAACATAAATTAACGCAATGTTCAATATCTCGTGAAATGAGGTTTTAAACTTTATAGTTTTGAAATTTAGTTTGTTGTTATAAAGGAAGGGTTTAAACACACACACCTGGTTTGTCTTTGAGGAGACTCGATCCTGAGTCTCAGGTCCCAGCAATTGGTCCTGCATCTGGTTTGGGCTCTTTTGGAGCCCAATGTCTATTTTCTAATGATGTTGCCCTAAAGGTCTAAGGCAGACTTGGCCCAAAGTGTATGGATGTCAAATTCAGAAATTCAGTTTTTTTTTAGTTCAAATAATCACGGTTCCAAAAGTAAAAAAAAAATGTTAATTCAGTATGCATGTTTCATATAGTCATGATTAGATTGATTTTGTACCCTAGATTAGATTCTGATGATTGAGCTTAAAGTTGGCCCAACTAACGAAAGTTCCATCTCAAACTCATCGTGTGTTCGACTCTTTGGACGTCTGTTCTTTATTGAAATCGGATTCGTTCAAGCTGGAAAGTAATTCAAATGGGTTCAGATAGCTGTTGTCCTCTGTAACAATTTGTCTTTAAGTTAATTGGTTTTAATAAGACTCTTATTAATAATAAATAGGGTCGAACTTTTAGTTTGAATTAATTAGAATCCCTTAAAGTTTTTCCTTAATTAACTTTTTTTTTAAGGGGATTTGAGGTGAGTCATAATAAATGGTTTATGGCCTTTCGAGCTTTAGTTTGAATATCCTTTCAAAATGGAATCAAGGTGCGCCACGCCAAATAAAATCTCAAATGTGTGGCCCTCATTTAATTCTTCCTTTTAAAATCTTTAGAATTCAAGGTGTGTCGTGCCAAACAAAAAATGACAATTGTATGGCTCTCGCTTAGTTAATATTTTTATCCTTAGAATTCGAGGCGTGCCATTTAGTAAATTTTCCGTGGCCCTCGCAAAGTTGCAAACGCTTAGGTGTTTTAGGCGTGTTATTTTAATAATGTACCTTCCTAAACTCGGGGTGCGCATTTATGTGACCCAAATCCAAATCCTAACAACGTTATATAAAATGTGTTGCGGACTGCGGGTGCATTTATGTGACGTGGTTCAAAACGCGTTTTATGTGACGTTGAATTTTTCCTAAAATTAAATAAAAGCGGTTTAAAGTAAAAATGCACATAGGTTCCAAAGTGTTTAAAATCAGATAATTAAGCTGAATATAACAGTTGAGCGACTGTGCTAGAACCACGGAACTCGGGAATGCCTAACACCTTCTCCCGGGTTAACAGAATTCCTTACCCGGATTTCTGGTTCGCGGACTGTAATACAGAGTCAACCATTTCTCGATTCGGGATTTAAACCGGTGATTTGGGACACCATAAATCTCCCAAGTGGCGACTCTGAATCTTTTAATAATAATCCCGTTTCGATTGTCCTTTAATTGGAAAAACTCTCTTATACCTTTTCGTGGGTGTAGGTAAAAAAGGAAGTGTGACAGTTGTTTCGTATTTTATCAAAGAAAAGTTCAAAAGGATCCCTCGACAGAGGTATGTAATACATCTGGACGTTAACCAGTTTTTGCAATTCTTATAACATGAGATTGGACTCGAGATGTGCTTACACACACATACATATATATTATTGTATGATCGCAATATATAATTTCCTGATGAAACCTTAAAGTGAAACAGTTTTATAAGTTCCCCGAAATCTTAAGACTGGTAGCAGTGTTGCATAGCAGAATACTCCAACTGAATGAATTAATTGGAGGAATTAGTCATATTTCCGATGTTAACAGGAGCGTTGTGCCTTATTTATCTTCAGATGTTGCTCTTGCACAGCTTGAAACTGAGAAAAGGTCTTCTTTTGTCAAGGCATGGGAAGAAAGTGAAAAAAGCAAAGTGGACAACAAGTAGGATTTCTATCTTTTGCATTGCGTAATTGGCCGGATACCAAAACTTCTATTGTGCTCAATTGAGTCCTTTGTGACTGCAAAATTAGTGACACCTCAATGCATCTTTACATTTTTTTGATAACTTCACTATGCTCGCCTCCTCAAGTCGTTTACCCTCATCTCTTTGGGTTGAGATGTTAATAGTTCCATTTGGAACATATATAATATGAACAACCAACACATCATCCTGAATATTAAGCTGCCACGGGTGTACTCTTTATACACTATAGCTTGTTGTCGATTCATATGCTGAGTTAGCTTAACCTTGTTTTTATTATTAAATAGGGCTCAGAAGAAGCTCTCTGCAGTTGCTAGATGGGAAAACACCCAGAAAGCAAAGTTTGAAGCTAAACTGAAAAAACTTGAGGTAACCAGGCTCGGGGTCGAGTATACCCAATGAAACTTTAATAGCAAATCCTTTATTAAAGCAATGATTTGGGTTAATGCATGGTATGCAAAAGTCCAAATGGTTCAATTTTTGGAGAGGAATCAAAACACTTTTGACCATTTTGGTTTTCTGATACATATTTGGCTGTTGATAATCCGGTGGAAATTGCAGGAACAACTAGAGCACAAGAAAGCAGATTATGCAGAGAAGATAAAAAATAAAGTAGCATTAATTCATAAGGAGGCAAATGAGAAGAGAGCCATGGTTGATGCGAGACGAGGGAAAGAAATTCTGAAGGCAGAGGAGATGGCAGCCAAGTATCGCGCTACAGGGAAGGCCCCTAAGAAGTTTCTTGGATGCTTTTGACGTTAATGCTGTTATGAAATTGTGAAGATCATGAAGGATAAGTCTTCTCTTTTCACTTTGTAAATTTCATGTTTCTGCTTTTTAGTGTGTGTTCTTTTATGAGAGTCCAATTTGGTTTCACAGGTTTTTGCTCTGTATAAATACTTTACGAATAAGGTTATCAAATATGCTCTTATTCAAGAGGTACACAAAACTTTTAAAAGGTGGATAATATGCATTGGAGGTGATATATACTTGACCAGCAGTTAAAATAAAAGTTTTTCCTTCTTTATTAAAGTTTGTGTGAAGTCGAACCAAGACGCTTTTACTGCGGCTGGAAGTGATTAAAAACAACCAGCTGAGAGATGTAAAAGTCAAGGCGATAAAGTTACTTAAAGATGGAAAATTCATATTATATGGAATAGCAGTTGAAGCAGGGTACATGTTGTAGGTATCAAGTGTGTCCTAAAAAGCTCATGTCTTTGTTACTAGAGAAATCCAAAGAAGTTGTAATGCTGATTCAGAATCTTCCTCCAAATCGTCGTCTGATCCAGGCAACATATCTCCACTAAATGGTTGGAATCTTCATTTTTGTTGCTCCTTCCAACTGAGGAACTGGAAAAATTGAGGTCCATTTCGGTTGTTATGCCTGAAGTTGATCCATAATTTGTAGTTGTGGACACTTGCGAGGCTGGGCTTTGGCTTGTATTCTTGTCAACTTTCTTGAAATTCCTGAATGCTTCTCCAATCTCTGAGTTCCATATGCGCAAAAAGTAATCGCTTTTAGACCTTCCTCCTGATGATGGAATCAAGAAGTGTGATTCGTTAGAAAGACGAGCTTCAGCTGAAGGTGATGATGGTTTGTGAGTAGGAGGATTAATGCTCGTGGAAAGAAGGCGTTCTTCAGGTGAGTATTCCATAAGTTCTTGATCTCGTTGTCTGTTCTTCCAGGAAGTTGGGACGTGATTGCACCCATCTGGATAGACTCGGTTCATAAGTATTCAAATCAATAGAAGTGAAACGAAGAAGCTGACTATATATATAGTTATGTTAGAGTCGAAAATACTAGGTTCAGTCCTCTGGTCACCTTGGTAAGTTTTAAGATTCAGCAGTCACTCACAAAACCAAACTTAAGGAGAAAATTAAGTCATGACGAACATTAAAAAAAAAAGGAAGCAGATTAACGTGTAGCCAAGAATGACATGTAATTGTATGACAATATCCTCTTCCTCCTGGACCTCGTTTGATGTTTGGCCGCAGATAATTTGCCCATCGAAGTCGGCAAGATTTGGAAGAGAAGGCCAGATAACTTGTTGATAAATTCAATGAGCTTGTGATCCTCCTCAGGCGTCCATCCTCCTTTCTTATCACAACAAACATGGTTTTCTCCCCATTCTTTCTCGATCTCTCTCACATATCCATACTACATTCACACTCACTCCATTCTTCTCAATATTTGTTTGGCTTTAAGCTATAACTTGTCAAATGCAGTACGAATTATACGCTCAGACAGACAGCAGCAGGAAAGCACCAGCATGTTCTATTCTCTCTCCGATCCATAATAAATGACTTTTTGGACTTTTTATTTTGGTCCAAAATAAGTATTCATTTACATAATCTAGAAGGAATTAATTTTATTTTTCAAAATTTGCCCTTATTTACGTATCCTAATGTGTCAAGGTAACAATAAATTAAAGGTAATTTAGTGAATACATCTTCTTTTTTTTGGAAGTTCGTATTTTCTTAAGGGATATGCCAAAAGCTAAAAATCACTTATTATGGATCGGAGAAAGTATAAAATTAGCAGCTTTTGGATGGACCTAAATTTACTAGTGCAGATAAATGTATTTGCAGGCCACAAGGAACGAGAAAAATTAAATGAGGGGGACAATAGAGAACAAAAGTTGCATTAAATGTCGTTAAAATAGCACGGTCTAGCCAGTTTTCGAACTGGTCACTCAAAAATAGCCAGCGTTTGTCAAGTCATTGAAAAATAGTCAATATTTTGCTGCAACAGAGACCGATCCAACATAATACATTGATTGAAAAATAGTCAATATTTTGCTGCAACAGAGACCGATCCAACATAATACATTGATTGAAAAATAGTCAATATTTTGCTGCAACAGAGACCGATCCAGCATAATACATTGGAGTTCGGTGCACCTGTGCATGAACTTCCAACTATGGGTGTACATGGACCGGGTTAGTTCGGTTTTTACCAAAACCAAACCAAACCAATTATATCGGTTTGGATTGGTTCGGTTTTGTCGGGTTTTCGGGTTTTTTTTGTTACATGAATATTACTTCAATCCTACTTTGTTAAAATTATAGATAAAGCTTTGATAAGTGAATATATGTTAAGTAAATATGGAAAAAATTGACAAACATATGATCTATTAAAATATTCTAATGGGAGAATTATTTTTTAGTAACACATGATAGTTATTTTCTTAGTCGTCTAACAATAACTTTTCGTTAATTTACGCTTTCAGGGTTAATACATGAGAGGACCCCAAATATTTCTACATTTTCTAAAGAAAAATCACTATAAACTCTTAAAAATATAAATAAAATTTATATATTTATATTTCGGTTTGGTTCGGATTTTTTTATTCAATACCAAACCAAGTCAAACCAAACCTAGTCGGGTTTTTTAATCGGTATGGTTTGGTTTTTCGGTTTGGTGCGGTTTTCCGGTTCGGTTTGAGCACCCCTACTTCCAGCATATTATACTGGACCGGTATACTTTGATGGCTCCAGTATAATATACTGGAGTTCCAGTATACTTTGTTGGAACTTCAGTATAATATACTAAAGTATTTTCCAGATTTTGAACAGTGTTTTCGTTCAGATTTATCTTTACATGAAAAGTGGCTAAATTTTGATGACTTTTAAAATTGTTGCTATTTTTGAATGACCACTTGTAAATCTGGCTATTTGTGAATTTCTCCCTTAAATGTCTGCCTCTATTTCAGATCTTATTTACCAATATCGTAAAAATAGCACGGGCTAGCCAGTTTTTGGATTGGTTATTAAAAAATAGTCAGTGTTTGCAAAGTCATTGAAAAATAGCCGTTATTTTGCTGCAACACGGAAAGTTCCAGCATAATATACTGGAGATCGGTGCACCTGTGTATAAACTTCCAGCATATTATGCTGGACCGGTATATTATACTGGAACTCCAGTATATTATACTGGAGTTCCAGTATACTTATGCTAGAAATGCTGGAACTCCAGTATATTTATAATATACTGGAGTTCCACTATATTATACTGGAATTTCAGTATATTATACTGGAGTATTTTCCGGATTTTGAACAGAGTTTTCGTTCAGATTTATCTTTAAATAAAAAATGGCTAAATTTCGATTACTTTTGAAATTGTGGCTATTTTTAAATGACCACTTGTAAATCTGACTATTTTTGAATTTCCCCCACCAAAATCAGGGGTTTGGGAATTTAATTTGATACGACTATACGAGATACTAAAGTAGACAAAGCTTTTAGGGTTTAATGCATAGGTAGAGCGACAGAGAAACAAAACCCCACAACAAGTGACCATTTTACCTTTGGCACATCCATTAGGAAAATACAAACTCCTAGAGAAAAAAAATCTATTCACTAAATTCACCTTAATTAATTGTTACCTCGACACATTAGAATATGTAAATAAGGATAAATTTTGAAAAAATAAAACTAATTCCTTCTTGATTATATAAGTGAACACTTATTTTGGACCAAAATAAAAATGTCAAATAGTCATTTATTACGGTCTCTTCCCCTTACGCTTTTTGCTGTAGGTGTTTTGAGGGTTAACACCTTCGGCATATTTCCAATCGGCAAATATAGGAGAGATGTCGGATTTAAAGAAGCAAGTCTTAGATTCTAGGAATACATTTTTTTTTCGTCTTTCTGAGCCGAGGATCTATTGGAAACAGCATCTTTGCCCTATCGGAGTAGGGGTAAGATCTGCATACACATTACCCTCCCCAGACCCCACTTTGTGAGATTTTACTGGATAGTTATTGCTGTAATCGCATCGCGAGGGAGTGGCAAACTATGAGTACCATTCAATTAACAAAAAATGATCTCATATGAGTCGCAATTGGTAAGACCATTTCCTTGTGATGGCTAAACCGGTTGAGACTCCATTCATTTAGGAAAATTAACAAGGAAAAAGGGTCAAAAATACAATTCTAACTACAAGAGATATCTTACATTCACCTATACTTTGGGTCCATTTATACCCTTACCAATAGCAAACCATCTCTTATTTGACCTTGACCATAACGGAGTTCCAACATAAAGTATATTAAATGGTAATTTTAACCCACAAAAAAAAATAAAGAGGTAACTTGGGTCTTTTCTCCCAAAATATTTTGACACGTCAAATCCACCAAGTCCATGCTAAAGCTCCATTAAGGTCGAGGGCAAATACGAGCCAATTTGCCAACAATAAGAGTACGAATGACACCACTATTAACGGAGAATAAATGGAGGCCAAATAAAGAGAAAAGAACCAATGATAGAAATCCAGAAATAGATAAAATAAAATCATACTCTTCACATCAGCCAAACTGACTACATTCATGCAGACATAACCTGCTTGATAATTCGAAACGCGAACATAACAGGATAAAGCTATAAGAGCTGAAAGGAGTACAGAGCCCCTGGAACACAGGCTACTCAAATACTGAGACAGTGCTTGAACCTCTAATATTCATCTCTGTAAATTCACGAAATGATTACTCCATCACTTAAGATGTTGGGAGATATCTTTCGGCATCACTTTTCCACGACCAATCCCCACATTGATATATGCCGTCAGATGAATATAGTCCAAATACCATAGAGCAACTACTTTTACAGCTTTATCCGATGAACATACAGCGAAAAGGAAACAACGACAAATGCCAAATACTACATAAACCAGGGGACTCACCAACAGTCAGTGTTTTACCGGACCTATCCAGTGTCAGTATGTACTGCTAAATTCTTTTTGGATCACTTAAATTGTCATTAGATCTAAGATGAACTCCATTGTTTCAACAACCGTGAA